GTATGAGTTTTTCTATTCTTTTTTTTTTCGGTAAATTGTACGAGTATTTTTTTACCAAGGCTCAGTTTGGAATGAGTACAAATATAAATATGTAGAGTGCAAAACTTTATAGTTTATATTATTTTGTATGTATTTGTACTGTACATGTTTGTATTTGGAAGGAGTACAAATATAAATATGTAGAGTGCAAAATCTTGTATTTTGCATTACTTTGTATGTATTTGCACTCTATATATTTGTATTTTAACTCTTTCCAAACTGAGCTTTATGAAAAGTACAGCCATAAGTTTATTATCCAGATAGCTCCCTCTTAATAGTGCCCCAACTATTCTATATAGATCTTTAGCTTTAAAACCCAAAAACATAAAAATAAAATGAACGGAAGGTTAAGTTGATTTACTAATGGGTTGCTTAAGTATGATTCTTGCTAAACCCTAATTGGTGTGACTATTTTGTTTTGGTATGGTTTCTTGCTCCATCTGCCTCTAAAGCTAAATTGAATAGACTTTGATCAGTGGAATCATTAGAATAGGTTGATGACCCATATATTGCAGAAGAAATATTAGATACATCTCAGGAAGACTAAATTTTTGTGCTTCTAATTAGGGGTACTCACACATCAGTTAACCGAACTGTGTGCTTATTTTTGAAATCAAAGGGTAGTAACCGAAACTGAACTGAAGTTGATTGGTTGATTGATCGGTTTTTTATTATTTACAATATATATTATAAAAATATATAACAAAATATTAGAAATATATATATATATATATAATATTATATTTTAAAATAATAAATAATAAATTATACATAAAAATATATTTGTATATATAATATGCATAAATATACATAAAATATATAAATATATGTATATCAGTCGGTTTGGTTAATCATCGGTTTTCTATTTTGGTTAACTGAAACTAAATCGGTACCTTCATTTTTTTAAAGACTGAATTGAAATTTAACTGATCGGTTTGACTAACCAAATTTTTTGTTCGGTTTTGATCGATTTGGTTATTCGGTTTTTCTTACTCACCCCTACTTTTAACTTCATATACGGGCAGAAATTCTAGTTAGAGGTGTAGAGGTGTAGCTGTAGAGAGTGGAGTATAACTGGGGAACTTTGATCCTCGGATAATCTGTAATTTATTTTGGTGTCATTTGGTCTTGTTTGAGAATGGATAGTGGTGTCATTACTCACCCCTCTTTCAGTTCACTAGATGACTGTATTCTCGTTTATGGTCTGTTTATTTATTTTGTAAAAAATGCTTTTGGTTTTGTAACATGATGGTGCACAATCCGGCCGGTCTTAGCTATCAACGACCTTGCCCCTGAACTGAATTGCAGGGAACTTGAAACGGAGAAGATGAGGCAGGGGGAACCCGGTGTAAAGGCTCCGAAGCTCAAGTTAGAATCCTTCAAAGGCAAGATAAAACCAGATAGCGCAAAGTTTGCATACCTTGTTCTTGGGGGGTAGAGAGCCTTTTATAACCACATCGCGCACTCACTCCTAAGCTTCTGTCAGGTCGGGTATGAT